ATCGAGCACGCTCGGTCGCGAGAGAGCGGAAAGTGGCATATCACAGAGCGATAGTCATTTGTCTCAGTGAAATTCAGGATTCTGAGGCCTATGCTAGAGTCGTCGCGGGGAGCAGTTCTAGCTCTCAATCGTGGAAGCGGGGACGCGAATCGAGTACCACGGGATTCTGTCCGTACTACTACGAGGACTGTCTGGCTCTAGCCAGGAAAGAGTGTGAATTCAAACCCCAGCAACATGCGAATCGTCCTAGCGGGAAGGGTAAAGGCTCGCCTGGATTTGGGAGCAAAGGCAAAGGATTTGGAAAGGGTAAAGGCTTCTCTAAAGGGTACTATGGACAGAACTCCAATTTTGGTGGGTTCGGAAAAGGGACTATCATTTCGCGGGGTAAATCAGCTACAGGAGTTAAGAGTGAAAGTTTTGAGAAGAAGTGATCTGAGTTATTTAATTCGATTGACGGTGTGATGTTGATAAAGTCTTCGTTATTATTTATGAAGATAGATGACGAGGTGTTGACGGTCTCGTGTGGGAGACATTTGTTTCTGAAAGAGTGACCCTTCTATTTTAATACAACTATGCGGAGTTGTGTGAATCTAGCGTCAATTAGGGAGACCTCTACGCCCTTGTTGCTTCAGAAAAAATAATAAATGCCACACAAACGAAGTGAGGAGGCAAAGAGGAGAGCTAAACAAAATTATCGTCAGAAAAAGGCGGCTCGTAGTAGGTGTTCTTCTAACCTCCATTAGAAATCTAACCGTGTTCAGGAGCTTCCTCCGCCTCGACAGTCACAAATTCTGAGCCATCTACGGTAGAGGCGACTATTTGGGATGGTTTCTGGGGGCTCGCACGTGAGCAGTGGGAAAGAGAACTCTCGGAAGCTTCAGTTCAGTATAAGGACGGTTCTGGAACGGAGCAAGCCACACTAAAGCTCCCTGAGCAGATCGATATTGAAAAATGGCGGGACCAACCGCTCGTGAAAGCGCTATTGAGAGTACCCGAAGTGACTGCCTTGGCTGAAGCTCTTAATGGTCTTAATGGCTTCTCGAATGATGAGGTCGCTCGGAAAGGAGAGCGGGCCATTCTAGCGGCGACGGCCGCTCTCGAGAATTTCTTTGGGATCAGTCGAGACCCAAGGGATGTATCCCCTTTTCATTCGAGACTATGGACGGCTATTCTGGAGCACACAGGCGCAGGAGATGTTGACTTTATTTCATCGGCCTGTAAAGAAGGCTGCCCACTAGGCATATCAGTGGATCTACCACCATCTGATGGCCTGCACCCTACCAAGAGAGTGCCCTGTGAAGTCATAAATACTGAAGCGCAACGAGCAGAAGCCGCCCGAGGGAATTATAAATCCTCGATTCCACACGCAGAGATCATATTACAGAAGTTGATAGACGAAGAGGTACGCAAGGGATGGATGGTAGAGGTAGACGACTTCGAAGAAGGCTGCTTTCGAGCCCGTATGGCTCTCATACCAAAAAAGTCCTACGATGAGTCGAGGACAGACTATAAAGATCTGGAGGCGTTGGAATTAAAGAAGTTTTTCAGGGTGGTGGAGGATTACAGAAGGAACCAGACGAACGCGACAGTATCGATGAGCGAGACCAATGTGGTCCCGGGCTATGAGAGCCTAGTGAGCATGCTAAAGTCAATCTCGGATTTGAGTGTTGAATATAAGGAGGAATACGTCCTCTTCGAGAGCGATGTGGAGACGGCCTACCGAACGGTACCAATACGGAAGGAAGAACAGCGATTTGTCGGGGTGCAGATTGGACAACGTAAGTTCATTCATACGAGACTCCCGATGGGTCTGAGGAGCAGTGCGTATATCTGGTGCAGAGAATACTCGTCTCTACATCGCGCGCTACGGATAATCATGCAGGTAGCAGGGGCGATGGGACTCTGCTTACTTGACGACAATTGCTGGGGTATACCGCGCTCTATTAAAGGTGAGGGAGCCGCCGTCCTTTTGCTGGTGCCAGCGGTTTGTGGGATCCCTTACGGATGGCACAAGCTATGCCTAGATGGGCCCAGCAACACGTTTGCTGGATTCGGTATGAGGCATGATAGAGCCGAAAGCTTCGTGGTTTATATTCCGGAGGACAAGAAGGAGAAGCTGAGAGCACAAATACACAGAATACTCAGCGAGGGGAAGGTAGTCTTACCCACTTTGGAGTCTCTGATTGGACGGCTAGGATTCTGTACGCAAATCTGTCGCGTATACCGCTCGGGGTTATCGGTGCTCTATCGAATGAAGACCACAATGGAGAAGAAGCAACTCTGGGCCATAACTTGTTCGCAGAACCTCCGCGCCTGTCTAAATAGATGGTTGGAGGTGCTGGACTCCAAATTCGAAAGACTACTTAGCGCGGTCGACAAGGGGAGACGCAAGCCAGCAAAGTGTCTTGTGTTGGCAGACGCCTCGACGCGCGCGATTGGAGCAATACTTGTGGATGAAAGAAGTCGGGGTTGCTTTTGCAGAGTTCTAGCCAGGGACTTGGTTGAGCTGGAGGAGGTGAACGTTCATTCAGATGGGCCTGCCTGTGCCAACATGGTGACTATGGAATTGTGTGCCGTTTTAGCGGGGGTTATATTGGCTCGACGTAAAGGTTTTGGCAGTGAAGATATCTGGATCCTCTCAGACTCGCTATCAGGAGTGACTTTGATGCGAAAGGGTTTCTCATCAAAGATAGGGCCAGCGAATCTAGTAGCAGCCATCACTCAGTTGCTATCGGAGGGATTGAGCGTTAGCGAGAGAGTCAAAGGAGTGTACCATGTGAGCGGCGAATTGAATGTGGAAGCGGACCGTGTGTCACGTGATATGGAATATCATCCGCACGGTCTGGAGGAGGAGTCAGTCACTATCTCGGATTTACGGACGGTTATCGACGGACTGCGTTACGGTACATAGGTTACGCGCCTATTGAGCTCTCGGATACGTTTCCGGCTTTAGCTTCGTTGAGTAAGAGTGTTTAAATCCGTCTGGGTTATACCCAGTCCTAGGTTGTGTTACATAATGGACGACAATCCACGTGATAAAAGGCTGACTCATCTAAAGATATTCGCAACGCAGCAGCCAGCTGAAGGCTCGGAGAGAATGAAGGAGTTAAACGAAGCCCTGCGCGCGGAACCCATCCGGGAGTCAACTCGTAAGCAGTACGAGACGCCTAATAAGTACTATGAAGAGATCTGTGGGCGTCCAGTGAACGGTGAGAGGTTGCAGACTTTCATCCGGGCTTTACTGTCGTTCGACGATCCCCAGCTGACTTATGAAACCATATGCAAGTATGTTTCGGGAGTCCAGACTTTCAGCCAGATTCGCGGTGAAGCTAAGCTAACAGAAACCGAACGTCAGCACGTCAAACGTGCGCTCGATGCTGTGAAAAGGATACGTGAGGGTCAGGGGAGGAAGAGAAAGCAAGCTCCGGTGATGGACGACGAGCTGATTGACTCGTTGATACGAATGCCAACAGTTCTAGGCTCCGACAATGACCAAATCAAGACTCTCACTCTTTTTACGGTGGCCACAGTCTGTAGACTAGATGAAACCTACGGATTGAATGGTAACGATATCGAGCTAATAGAGACTCCGGGGAGACTCCGTCTCAAAATTAAGTTGATGAACCCCAAGACTGAGGATGGTCCAACTTATAAGGAGATCGATTGTGACGATCACTGGGAGATGCAAGGGAAACAGCAGGACGCATGTGGGGTGAAGTGGTGTGCAGCTCATGAGATAGCCCGTCGGAAGATTGCTTTGAAGAATGATCGCTTCCGTCTGTTCCCAAAAATACAGAAGAACAACTATGCTAGAAAGTTGAGGGCCTTAGTCGACTCACAGTTCCCAGGTATGGGCGATCGGTGGTCAATACAGAACGTTACTGGGCATAGCCTGCGTCGAACTGGCAGCACTCTTCTCAAGTTGTGTGACGTTCCAGAAAAGGAGGTGCAAGCGGCGGGTAAATGGAAGAGTGACGCCTGGCTGAGCTACACCGCTCAAGCTATGGAAATCCGGTCGAGAAAGCACGCAAAAATGATTATGGGAGACAAGAGATGTAGTTAGTTATTTGATCCTATACTTTACTCGAGATAGAAAGGCAGTAGTTGCGTCATCTAGTAGAATCAGTAGGAGTGTTTTTGGGAGTAGTGAGTAGTGCATTGGGGAGGCACGAGTAGTCAAGCGAGGGTCGTCAGCCAGAGAGTATCGACCTGACTCACTGTGGCTGGTTAGAGATTCGTGTAACCTCGCTACCACTACTCGCGCGGAGCGAAGCATCCACTGTTGCAATTTTGGGAATGATTATTCGCAGAATTTCGCGGTTGGGACTTTCGGGTCCCACTCGATTTCTGTCGCAACGTGCGATGCTTTCACTCCACTACCCACTACTCCCATCTAACTAAATGACTGAATGATAGCAGATAACAGGTCGTCCGCAGTGTTGAGCATTTTGTAGAATTGAGTAGAGGGAGTGGACCAATGAGCGAGCAAAGTTGAATGAAGGTCAATTTATTGGGCTAGGTCAACAAGCGAGCGAATGGTTTGTGTTGTGGTTGGGGTTTTGGATGGATAAGCATTCAGTTATCATTTAGTTAATGGGGACTTTCCTGAACCCACCCACCCGCATCCAGTTAAAGTTAGTTTGGGAGGCACGAGTAGTCAAGCGAGGGTCGTCAGCCAGAGAGTATCGACCTGACTCACTGTGGCTGGTTAGAGATTCGTGTAACCTCGCTACCACTACTCGCGCGGAGCGAAGCATCCACTGTTGCAATTTTGGGAATGATTATTCGCAGAATTTCGCGGTTGGGACTTTCGGGTCCCACTCGATTTCTGTCGCAACGTGCGATGCTTTCACTCCACTACCCACTACTCCCATCTAACTAAATGACTGAATGATAGCAGATAACAGGTCGTCCGCAGTGTT